GGCCTTGAGCTCTGACCAGGAATTTAGTTTTGCGCCGCTATTTGTTTAAATATCAGTTCGATCATCTCAGACAAAAGTGCTAAATGTCATAAATAGGCAGATTTAGGCAGACATTGCCTTTAATTCTTTAGAAGTAGCGGGCGGGCTCCCCGGCGCATTCTATGTTCCCTTATCAATTGTACCCTAAACTCAGCCAGGATACTTTCCACGGCGAAACCTATAGTTTGTATCCCGACAATGGAGGACCTGATGGAATTACTAGGTTTATTAAGTTTCTAGCTTGGGATTTTTCCTACATTAACCTTTGGCTTCATCAAACCTAAACAAAGATTTAGTAACTGCAGAAATATTAAAATATGATAATAACGTTGAAATCTCTGATCAATATTATTTCGTTCCAGTCATCATAACCACTTTTATAATTTTGGTCCTCAAGCTTAAGACCTAAAAAAATTGGGCCGACTAATTTCGGTAAAACAGAGGAACCAAAAGAATGATTTTATCTTGGTCAAAGACTTGCAACCAGGTCATTAAATTAAATTTCCATTAACTTATTAACTCATTGCCCTCTTGATTTTGTTTTAATTGTAATATAATGTCACTTCATATGTAATGTTATCTCATATCCATGTTTTAGAATTGTTAAAGTGTCCATGTTATTTTGAGATTTCTATGTACTTTTTATGAATAAATAAATTAATTATTGATCATTATTGTAGCTAATTAAACTCATTATAAATTTTTTCTTTAAATTACATAATTTTTTTTTATTATTATCTTATCTCTTTAGCATATCTCTAAGTCTACTTTCTGACTCATAGAATTGAAAATTTTGATCTGAACCGGGATTTTTAAATTTAAAAAATACGAATAGTGTTTTAAAATAGCAAACCCATTTTAGGCACATAGTACACTTCAATTTTCTTTACCTTTGCGACTATTTAAAAAAAGTTTATTGTTCCCTTTTGCTCTAATATCCTTTTGTATGGTGTATGAGTTAATATTTCAAAATTATCTTTTTATAGCTTATATCCGGCTGAACATTATAACGTTCTACCAATAAGCTTTACCAAAAGGTGATATAAACTATATTAAGTGTTATTACGTGACTTCAGTTGAGCTAAATAGATTATAGCTAAGACTTTAAAGAGTATGTATACAAATTTTTAGATCATAACGATGACTAAAATATACAAGTGGATGATTTTTGTAATCGTAGTTTTGCAAAATATTTCAGATCAGGAAGATTTTCCAGGTGAAGGTAAAACTTTATATATAAAGATAACATATACCCTTTATCACAGATATTTTCTACCTTTGGGTCTATGACTGAAGTTGTTATTCCATATGAGGTTGAAGTGACTCTGTACAGCGATAGTAGACTCCACCCATCTCATGTAATTCGATGGGGATGCCAATCCTTACCGGCAGCCTTTCCATAATCCATATTTTTTATTGACGAGACAATAAGCCAGTCCCCTTTTTGGCATTTCACGATCTTTCTGTCTTCTTTCTGAGTTTACAATAGGCTACCCAGTCTTCTCTTCCCTCCCTCCACTGCATTTCTCTTTAACCAAAAGAAAGCGATGGACCACCTTGCATTTTCTTTTCCACGCAGTGCTTTCTTACCATACTGTATACTGACCGAATTTTCTTCTTAAAATAAAGATAGCTCTCTTCAGTAGTAGTATAGGTATATTCATCGCCTAAAAAGAGTGTTATTTGAATCAGACCGTTTACAAAATTTCTAAGTTCCTCAGAAATTTATGTACCGACTTGGCTAGGAACAACTTGTTCCGGTCTTCTGGCTAGCTTCATAGATCCTAAAGGCAACTCGTTTTCTCTAATAATACTAATAACAGCTTGTATTCACTGAAAAAATCTGAAAAGTGAATCGACTTGACATTTAATACCTACTTGGTAAGTCAAGTTGGAATATGGAAGTGATCAAGAATAAAAATATCTTTCCCATTAGGATGAGTTCGCGTTGTTTTAGGACGCGTCTTCCTTTTATAGAAGGACATTTCAATGAGCAGTGAAATCTTCCTGCAGAGATCTACCATTCGCGCGATGTTATCCGTTGTCGGTTTTTTCTTTCAGACCGAATGTAGACCAAATAGTTTCGTAGACTTCATCAACATAATTCGTCCCAATGTGCAGATTGAAATTGCCGGCTACAACAAGGGAAAGCGTGTCAGTCCCTAGGAGTATGACAAAGAGATATAAAAATCACCTTCTTTTCACTATTAGAGCCATTAATAAGGGCACACATAGTATTGCTTGCCAGCGCGCCAAAAAGATTTACTGCTATAATTACTACGCTTGGTATGATAGGAGTGAACGTCACTTCTGCTTTCTTATTCTCCACAAGAAAACTATAGTTTCCCTTCCCGCCAGCACTTTCATAACATCCTGAATTATAGATAAAATGGTTCCCTGTTATATCCTATATCTACTATATATTATATTATTAAATTTGTAATTATAAAAAAAGGTATTGTAAATTTTTTTTTAAAAAAAAGCAGCATATTGTGATTTCTAATTGTTTCTCTTAAAATGCACGATTGAGATAAAAAATTTGCCAAATTACTAATTTCTTCCATAAAATCGAGGGAGATAAATCTAAAAAAATGACCCATTCTGTGCAGATCTATATCTTGATGCAGATATCCAATATTATTATTCAGATTTGTTAAAAGACACTTTCAATGGATCTAGATACAGATACATCGTCTAAAAAGTTATCTAGATATAGATACAATTTTAATAATATATCCAGAATAATTTTTTTATACGTTTATATAAGGCTTGTATAATCCTAAATTAGGATTTTATTGTGAAAATTCATGAAATGAGTTAAAAAATTTATTGACTCGTTATCACATTTATCAAAATATAACTAAGATAATGATTTTGATTTTAATATATGAAAATATATGATTAAATGATTATAAATAATTATTAGATTTCAGTAATAAAATACTAAATTTTGGTCATTAAGACATCCTCGTTTATCTGTAAAGATATTTTTAACTGCAATAAAAAGTCTTTCTACCGGGACCCTTGAAGGGATGGGGTACTGAAAAAAATCGGATATTAAATTATTTTTTTTTTTCGCAGGTTATTTGTTTGCAATCAGTTGATGATAATTCATCAATTAATCTTTGTATTAATTTATTTTTTAATTAAAATATCCATTTGTAACCATGTCAAATCAAGTTTAAAAAAAGGATTGAGCATAGTTGCTATAATATCTTAATCTTCAAATATTGTCCCAATAAACCTAGAATTATTAAATATTGATTAATTTTCCTAACTTCACTTAAAATAAGATATTTAGCAGTGGTAAACAAAATCTCATGCTCATTGTTTAAAATTCTCCAATTTGATAATTAGCTGTGAAATGGTTGCACAATAATAAGCTTTGTACATATATTTATCTCTGCAAAATATCAAAAGAATTAGCTATTGGCTTCATTAGCTAATTTTAAATATGATATAATAAATTTTATTTATAACTTACTAAACAATATTCATGATAAAATCACATTCATGTGAATATTTATATATATATATTTTTTTATATATAAAATATAATTTTTTATTATAGTAGTTTTAATATTTTTTAATATAATATATTTAAATTATATGTTCATATGAAATAAAACAAATTTTACATTCAAGTATTTTTATTTATAATATAAAAAGAATTATAAAAGATATCAAAATGTATCTTAAAAAGTATCTAATAGATTACCTCTAAAATAATATCTAGATACAGATATAGATTTATTTTAAAAAAATCTATCTAGATACAGATACCACATTTTCATATCCAGATACAGTATCTAGATACTTTAACACCCTGTTATTATTAAATGGCAAAGCTAGAAAATATCTAATACAAACTCTGCATATAATTAAGGCATTAGAATACTCATTTCCTTCTATTAATTATTATCCTTAATTCGAGGACGATTTTAAATCCTTATTGCAAAAGAAAGAAATAACAAATGTCAAAGTATATCATGTAAAAAACAAGAGCGATTAATAGGTATCATTATAAATGTTTTTAGGGCATCAAATGGATTAATAAAAAAAAAACTAATAATCTTGTATATTTGGAATAGAAGAAAATTAGAGCGCGAATTCTATTTATTAGCAACCATAGCCAACAATATTTTATCACCACAAATAACAAGATTGGACAGTGATATATTAGATTTAATTTTAATTATACGATGCAATCATAATATAATACACGAATAAAAACTAACAATAAAATTTTGGGTCAATTTTAAACTCTGTTTTATTATTCTAATTTCTTTAAATTTATCATAAAATAAGGTAAAAATTATTTAATTTATGAACCTTCATTAAAAATTTATAAAACCAAATCGTACCTAATTAAATTTAATTTCTTGACCTGAACCGAGCCTATATAATTTTATTTTCCTGGAACCTTAACCAAACCTATATACATCAAAATGTTCGACACTCTGGTTTTAGATTTTTTAAAATTTAAAATATCATAGTTTTAAAATTAAAGGGGGTGGGTACCGAAAACTATGAGAAATATCAAAGTCCAAACCAATTATATTTCGGGTTTCATATTTAGCCAATACAAGCTCCTGTTAGATTAATACTGGCCTAACTGTAATACGGAGAACCTAAAGATGCCTGAACAGGCCAATTAATGTTAATGCAAGGCAAGGCAATGATAGGTTAACTTTTAAATAAGCAATTGGGCTAATAAATTGTACCCACATAGGGAAGACAAGGGTAAAGAGATTGCCTAACAATGTTACTGCGAATAACTTTTTAACTCTTGAGCTTAACAACCTTAAAATTGATGTGAATATGTATTTTTATATATAATTTCTAATATATGTTCAATTCTTTGAAAATCTTATTGGATTGTCATGCCAAAAAATCGTTTTTTTTTACTTAAAAATGATAAAATAGATGATCATTGTTTATGTTTATTTTAAAATAATAACCTTTTTTGAGTTTGTTTTCATTTTGTTTAAATGAAATAGGATGTCCACATCCTTCAATATTTCTGACACATGAATAATTGCAACCTTTTGTGATAATTTATGTTTAATTTTTTTAAAATATATTTTACTCAAATAAATTTGAATGCTCTTAATCATGATATGAATAAAAATATAAGTTATAGAATCAATCCATTATCTATCGATAAAAAGTTGAATGAGTTCCTTATATCAATAATTAAAAACTTCTAAAAAGCTAATAAATCCTTAATCATCGAATTCAGGCCATGTCTTGGTTAGTCTTATTTCTAAACAGTCTTCTGTTTAGCATCTATATAACTTCCTCTGGACAGTCTAAAAAAGAAAAAGTCTAGTAAGAAATACGCAAACGGTAAATGATCATTGTTTTATTTGTACTGAAAAAATATATTTAATATAAAAACCTAAAACAAATCAAAATAGGGTGTCCTAGTTTAAAATCTGGTTGACCCAGTTTTCATTTATAGTAAAAATTACTTACCAAAGGACACATTATTTTTATCTTTTTCTACTGCCAAAACAGCATTAATATTCAAAGGTTCTTCATTTATAAATAAATTGGTTAAACATCCCTTGAAATGATTATTCAATGCCATTGACCATATTTCTTTAGGTTTAAATAAATCTCTATTTTTGAGTAACTTGGCAAGGGCTGGTGGATTACCCAAGTATAACTCGGAAATTCTGTCTGCTTTATTCTTCGATGATATATAAAAGTTTTGGTTTAAGGGCAAATTTAACTCGCTGTTGATAATTAAGTCGTTATGTTTGAAGGAAAATTCGATCTTTGAATAATTAAATGTTAAACGAACAATACAATCAGTTTTATCTTCACATATTAAAGAATTCACTTTTAGATTATCATCATTAGTTGTATCATGAGTGTGGGGCATGTGAACGAAAGAAAAATCACCATAAGATATTTCACCTTTGTTTATATAATACTGACTATTGATATCTTCTGGTATGGGAATCTGAACCCTTCCCAACATTTCTAATTGGTCAAATGCATTTTTTACTACTATCAACCTCAGCATACCTCCTACTATTTCTAATATTGCAATCATGGTGAAATATTGATTAGTAGAATTTATATCATGCATTTTGTTAGCATTGAAAGGTATAATGTAAGTGAGTAATATGCCTGGGAGTTTTATATTTGACAACTGAAATGATATTGTTTTCAAATTTTGGGGAAAAGAGGATTTTAATTTAAAATAACCATTTATCCCACCGAAACGAATATAATCCTTTCTCCTTAGATGGCTCTCGAAATATGTTGAAAAAATGCTTCGTTTATGAAGTTTGAGCTTTTTCGAATCGTTCTTTGCATCTGTGATTTTATAATTCTTAGAATTATTATCGCTTATATTGCTAATGATGGATTTATCAATTACCAGGTTTTCGACATAAAAGGAGGAATCACCATAATCACTGATTGCCTGACGAATATAGTGAGACATCTAATAAATTAATTTCATATTATTTTATAAAAATATATGGAACGATTATAAATTATATTAAGTTAAAATTAAAAGCAAAATTTACTAAAAGACCTTATAGCAGTGTTTTCAAACATTTAAAACATTGAAAATTTAAATAAGATAAAACTATTCGAAGAATTTGTCCTATTCGGAAAACCTTTCGTATAAAAGTCATAATATGCTCTTCTAGATAAGAGATAAAAAAGTTCAAAATCAAGCTTACACATTACGGCATTTCGCATCACCTTTATGCAAAACCCAGGTATGTTTTGAACATTTTTAAGGTCTCAGTGATGACCTCAACGAAATATTAGGGAGATATGAAAAATTAATAATCAGTGGCCTAAGCCTAAATTAACGGTAGGGGGTAGAAATTTTAAACATAAAAACAAACGTCTCACCATAAAAACCCGCAATTAATTTATTATTCATTTCAAAACAAAGCTTATAATTGACAACTTATCCAAATAGATATTACATAATATATAGGTGCATTTTGATTATTTCAAAACTTATTAACTTTCGGTTATAATATATTTTATCTGCCAAAATAAGATTAGAAGTTATTTTATTACTATATTTTTGCGGGATTGGTTTTTAGTAATTCAATAGTACTCAAATTAAAATGTTTTTCAGAAAAAAATTAACCCTAAAACTTTTTAAACTTATAATTTACGATTACATCAAAATACTTGACAGAATATTTATCCGGACTCGAAAGAATGATCGATTGATTTGTATAGTTGATTGATTCATTATGATGCATATTTCTGCCCCCGTGAGGACCATCACTTAGCCCTGTGGGACAATCAGGAGTTTGCTGACACGTTTTATTAACGAATATATTGCAAATTTTTGATAGAAATTTACCTATAAGATCTATTTCAATTTTCTCCTGCTTAAAGAAATTCTCCGTTGTTACTATATTTAAGTGAAGCATTGTATGGAATAAAAGTTGGTTCTGTGAGTTATCTATCATCGTAAGAATTTTTAATAAAATAATTTTTTATACTATTAATAATGAAATATACGAAATTATTATTATTATATAACCATAATAGATATTATACATCTATAGCAAAGTAATACTTACTAATAGCAGCAAAATCTCTTGAGATATATATATAATGCGATAAAAATTTAGTTTTAATTTAATACACATTTTGTAAATAATAATATTATTATATATATTTATACGGTGTTTATTGATTTTTATGGAATCTTACCCAGAGGAGCAATTTCAAAGTGAAAGAGTTTGTAAAGTATTAAATAAATTTTTTTTTAAAGGTTAGCAGGGTCCTAAAATTTAAATAAAGTTTGGAGCTCAAAAGTTTGAAGTTGCTTTGTTGGAATTTCGTGAGCATGAACCAATTTTTTGCAACCATTCAAACCTGGGATATTTTTATTCGGGGCGAAATCGATCATTATTAAGTTCATGCAAAATTTTTTCAAATGAGACTTAAGAACTTGATCGTAACTAAAATATAACTTTTGCGTTTATGGGGCACTTACAAATGGACCACAAAATTTTTTTGGAATCGCGTATTTAGATTATATTGATGCTGTAATATTTTTCATAAGCTAATTATATTAAGTTTGTCATTTTTATAATAGAAATCGTGAATAAATAGCCCAATATATGAATTAGTTAATATTTATGCAGTAGTTACGGCCCTGACAATTCATGACTAAGTTATACCTTTTCTGCTCGTGCGCCTAATTTTAAAATTTATTTAATGATCTAAAATATATATGTTAGCGTCAATGTGCTTTTTCCGGCAATGTGTTATTTTCAACTTTAAATCATTTTTTGAGCTCGTTTTTAAAAATTTAAAAATCAGAGAAAATGTATTCCATGATGTTTGGAATACCTACCCTATGAATTTCAGACAATTTTTCCATGAATTTTAAACTTAATATAATTTATATTAAATTTTCTATATAATTTTTTTATAAATTGTCTACAATTCATAAGAGTAACATGCTGGAATACTTCCGGTAAAATCAAAATTTTAAATTAAAAAAACGCGCTCAAAAACGAATAAAAGCTGAAAAAAATCATTGCCGGAAAAAACACATTGACGCTAACATATACACAAAATATTACAGGTTTTAAGTGCTGTTAAAAAAAAAATTTAATATCTATATTTTATTAATCAATCTTCTCTTGAATTTGAACATCAATTTACTCATATATTATTTATAAAGAAAGTTGCTATTTATTTAATAATATTAAAAATAGTTTACATGTGTTTTTTTACTAAGATATCAAAATCGTAATATAAATCAATAACTTTTTTAAAAAAATATTGAGACATCTTCTCTTAGTTTAATCGTCAATTAAAAATATTTGAAAGATGCAAAAAACTATTGGTGAAATATTATATTGCAAATTGCTTACTAAGGTCAGAAAATCACAACTCACACCTTGATTGATCTTCTTGACTGTAAACCACACTATAAGAATTGTAGTTTGGGAATTCATTCTTAAATTTACTTTTCCACATATGAAACCCAATACATTTCGAAATCTTCTGACAATAGGAATGCCTTATACCATCCACCTACCACAAAAAGATTAAGATACTGGGCAGGCTTGTTCCATATATCTAGATGAGAAGTCTTAACAATTTTTAAAAGCGATTCCCTCTCAAACAAATTGTGTCTTGAGCTAAGTAACAGAGTTCAGTCTTCTGCACTAATTTTTTTACAATGTAATGTTATCTCACATCTGTCTCAAATGTGGCAAACCGGCAGGAAAGCATTGACAAATGCTAATAGTAGTAAAATCTCGCTTCACCATATCCTCTATAACGTCCTTATCAAGAGAGTTTACCTATGGAGATTTTTAGATTATTAAACGATAACTGTCACCAGAAAAATATCATCAGATCCCTTCGAAAGAGAGACAGTTTTTTATTTTGACTTGGCTTGGTGGCAGTGTTGTTAAAATAGCGCGCTACTTTTTTCAGTAGCGGTAGCTTTAGATGACTACCTTTTTTAGAAAATAGCGATAGCGGTAGCTCGCTACTAATTTAGTAAGTAATAAATACATCTAAAAATTATTAAAATATATTTTTTATTAAATCTAAAATTATAATCCTTTTATTTAATTTAATTTTGAAATTTACATTTATATTTAAAAATATACATTATAAATCTAGTTAGCATTATAAATCTAGTTATTAAAAATGTGTGAGATTGTTAAAGATAGCGAATTTTTTTTGGGAAATGAGAAAAATATAGATTATCCTTTACCAAAATTCAAAAAATACTTTAATCTTGAAGAAAAAATAACTACTGGATATCGGTTTCAATGCTAGAAAATTTTGCCAACCACTGGTAGAGTCTAGGCTAAAAGGCATTGAGAAAAGGACAAAACTATTTTTATTTCCTATTATACAATTATATAAAATGAATGATTTATTACTTGATTAGCCATAATTTAAATTGGCTTAATTTACAACACAATCTATAATATTAATATATAGTATTAATATAAAATTCAAAATTAATATATTATTAATTACCATAATAATTATATTTTTAAAATCTTTATTTACAATTTAATGCTATTTTAATATTTTTTTTATAAATGAATTTAAATCTCAGATAAATTTAAATTTTGAAAATTAAAAAGGTATTCTTCTTATTTTATAATTAATACAATCGCTTTATATAAATTAGATTTCCAGATATGATGATAATGTAATAGCTGGTATCGTTCATCCTAGTTTCAAGTTAAATTGGCCATACATTAATTTGACTGAATCTAAAGGGCAACTTGATAGGCTGATGGTAACGTTAAAAAATGTCATGCCTAACCACGATACTAATACTATAGCTAGATCGAAACCGCGCCCTTCCATAGACAATTTTTTTGAAATAATAATACCTCTAGATGCTTTTTTTAAATCTAAAAATACTCATTTAAATATCTTTGATGATTTTTTTTATATAAAAAGTGTGTTTATTAAATTTAATACTGCGTTGCCCTCAAGTGCTAGTGCTGAACATATTATTTAGTATAGCAAAGCTTATACTTTCTGATCGTCGTTCTAGACTTGGGGATGACAGTACCGAAATGTTATTATTATTAAAGTGCAATATTGAATAAGTTATATATATATGTAACAAATTATAGTCATGTTTTTATACCAATATTTTATTTGTGGAACTAAAGTTATGTAAAAAATATTTTTAAAAAAAAATCAAAATAGCGTACTTTTTTTTAAAAGTAGCTAATAGCTCGCTACTCATTTATAAACGATAGCGGTAGCGATAGCACGCTACTTTTAAGCGTTTAACAACACTGCTTGGTGGATTCACTTTTCTCTTGGAACATACATAACATTTTATTAGTTGTCGAAATAATATAGGTTAAAATTTCTGGCGATTATACCTTCCCACCAGTGCCAACCTCAAACTTTCTTTCTTTCATTATGCGCTCCTTAACAATCCTTTAATCGCCCATTTTAATAATTTGCTTTCTATTTCTTACAAACCCTCTTATTAACATTTTCTACCTGAGGCAATCCTGCTCCTCCAGATATTTTATTTTATGAGATTGAGACCTCTGAGATCTCTGTATCGGCAATAATTTAGCTTGCCTCTCTCGCCAAGTATGTTGCAGGGGTGTCGTTAAGCCTTTGATGCACAATATTAAATAAGATTTGCCTAAAATCTTTAGTCTAAAATTTTGTAGTATGAAAAATTGATTAAATTAAAGACGGTTCACAACTTTTTTTATAGGTTTTTATTGTATCATTTAATAACAAATTTTAACAGTTTAAACAATTTTATAGTCCAACTAACAATGAAAGTTTCATTCCATTTTTAATTAATATTTTATGACAATATTTTCATGATAACAGCTTTATTTTATTGTCGTAATCTGGTTGATATGCCTAGTGTAATTTTTAATATATCTTACATTTTGATATGTTTTAGATTACATATGTCTATAACAACATTTGAAATAGGGGAGACTAAAAATCTTCATAGAATCTGTAAATATTCTCGAAAAGTCTTGACAAATGACTCTATTTGAGCTAGTTATCATTTTTCCCTAATTTTTAAAAATAATTTAAATATTTTAAAATATTTGAAATTATTAAACGAAGAAAAACAGGGTACATAGGACATACTACCTTCTGGTTGCTAAAGCTAATTGACAACCTATTTTATATATTTGCTAATATAATCTTATAATATTAGTTCTGGACGGATACCTAAATGATAACAATAAAATAAATTATATTTTACCAAATCCCTTACTTTAGATTCATATAATTTAATTGCCTAGCTAAATTTATATGCATCATAACTTAATTCAATCCATTTCTTTGAATAAGTTTGTGTTGGAATTATTGAAATAATAATTTGATCGATATAAATGGCCCTATATCTATGTCCGATATGCCCTTAGTTACTCCAAATAATGCAACAGAAAATACAAATAGTAAATTTTATTATTAAACTCACATAGACGATAGAATAAGGTTTAGATTTTCATTGGATATATTATATTTAATAGTACTTAAATTTAATATTTAAAATCTAGGTGAAAAAATAGTAATAAATTTAGTTATTTTTAGGGTATAAAAATAAATACATATTTTTAAATATATAAAATTATATTGATTGGACATAAAGGAAATAAAAATATTATTCGTCATAAATGTATATCATAATTATCTACATAAGGTGTATTTTTGAAACTTTGGGCAGTATTATTTTAAATATAAAATCGAAATTATCCTTTGTGCCCCGGTCTCCCCTATTATCAGTTTGGTTTGGGCAATGGCTAAAAAATAATATATTTGGTCTTTGTAACAATTTAAAACATATTAAAAAAATTATTCAGGAAAATCTCATAATTTTTTATTATATTAGTTATATTATCATGATTATTTATGGACATTTTAAGAATCAGCACATTCTTTGAAAACTTAATTCCACAAAGAAACACTGTGAAGTGATTTATGAAAATGTTGATCGAATAGCTTCACTATCTATAAAAAATTAGTGATTTTCATTGTATTTTTTATAAATTTAGGTAAAACCATAAATATTTTGAGCTGGATTTAAATAAATAACTTATGGCTGGGCTAGTCTAAAAAAATTGAGTCTGATTCGGTCTGAAAATGGAATTTAGAGAGCACTAATTGCTATTAACTTTGAAATAATAACCAAAAGAAATGCGAGGAATCAAAAAATATTTGCTAAATATTTCCTATATCAAACTCCAAACTTTTGGGATATCCAACTATTAAATGGTTGTTTTAAAATACATAATTATTAATTTTATTGCCAAGGCACGCTAAAAGGAACAATAATAGTATTTTAAGTCAGACATAATAGAATATTGCTTATTTAGAAGCAGGCTGTCAACGTTTTGCCGATATATGACCGACCAAATATGGTCAAATTGAAATAAATGTGTTTTAAGTTAATTATTAACTTTACTTTATATATAATATGAATCCATAATATAAATTTTATAATATATTTTAAATTTATTTTAATAACTGATGTTTAGCTCTTCATGGCAGATTTTTGTTCTGATTCATATTCAATAATCATTTTCTTTAATATTTTTTAATCAATTTTCCTGTTCTCGATATCTTCAATCTATTTCTGTTTAATAATAATATTAACACAAGTCGACCACTGTCTTTCTGTAAAAGAAGTAGAATCTTTAATAAAATGTCACTTCACTTAATGGGCAAAGCTCATTTCACTAACTTGAGACCAGAATCTGGTTGTTTCTTATAAAAGTTACTGCTTTCCACATAATTTGCTATTAAACATGCCGCTTTTACTTCTGAAATTTAAAATATCACTTAAAATATTTTGATCATCACCACCATATAAAATGCCTAATTGTATTATATCACATCATTCAATAAATTTACTACTAGTGTGATACTTCCCTTGTTATAGGGGACCCAATAAATAAACAGCATTGTGTTCACATTTATTTATATTGTTTTTTCTTTTTTCAAACATATTTAAAAAAAATTTTCTATAGATTTTTTAGAGTATTTCATCATATTTGACCAGGTCAAATACTTTTCAGGTCAATTGACAGATTTGCCAATCCTATAGAAGGGAGATAATAAAGGTCGTTTGATTGAAATAGGAAGACAATTAAAATGTAGGATAAAAGATGACACCAAAATTCAAGGGTCAAAGGGGTATATAGGACCAGAGTTTTAATAATCTTGAATATTGAAGATTAGAAAAACGTCGAATTAAGGAAATGAGAATGTCTAGAATCAGGTAAAGCAAGAAAATTCAAGAAATATAGATTTATTTCAGGCTGGGAAGGGACTAAGATTTAAAATATTCGGGCTGGACTGGGCTTAAATTTTTTAATAAAATATATTTTAAAATTTTTGTGAGAAACAAAAGGTCAATATTTTTCATTTGTTTGTAGAATAATTAAAAACTCGATTATGTTCAATGTATAAATGTAAAACTCTATTGAAAAAAAATAAATTTTCATATTTAAAATAAATTCGGGCAAGGCTGGGAGGACAAATCAAATAGTCTTAACAGGTTGGGGCCGGACAGGACAAATTAAAAAAAAAATCGGGCAAGGCTTAAAATATTAGGCCCTATGCAGATCATTAACACTTATATTATATGTTTGAAAAAAATGGGGCAGGTGGTGTTTAATGGAAGATATATATTTTAAAAAAGAAGAGAGAGGGGGGGGGGGTGAGTTGAAGTTGATATGTAATAAAATTGTCAAAAAAAGAATTCCGATTTTGAAGTATCATCTAAATGACTAATGATGCATATCATTATAATTCCGCTAAATTCTTAATTATGTTAAGGTAAATTTTAGCTCATGATAATTATTATGGCATATTGTGAAAATAATTTTTTTATTCCTACCCATATCAAAAAATACCCGTGCGGTTCTTTATTTATATTTCAAAAGAATCCAACCAATCTTATTGATTCGTAAACTTATTAGATAATTTATAAATCAAAATTGGTAACTCTATTAAATTTTAGAGATATATAAGTATAACTATAACTTAAATTAGGCTATTAAATTTCTAAGCTACAAAAATAAATTATTTATTAAAATTAATTTAAGAACTATGATAAAAAAAACAACTTTTGCAGGACACATTATAAATAAAGTTATTATATCTATAATGTATAAAAAGAATAAAAGTGTGTCCGAAAAGTTGACCATTATTATAATTAACATAATATAGCGTATTTATACTATTTATATTAAAAGAAACATTCGATATCAGTAAAATAAGATATATTTAAAACAGAATCTAGAATATATGGCATAATATTCAGACTGTTGTGTCCTTTTAAATCCATTAATGACTCAAGTATTAAATATAAACATATGGGCACCTTTAAATCTTGGGTGCCAAATTTTGTTAAAATAATTTGTAATATTTTCATCGTGTTAATTTTTAAACCATTATTTAATATTCTTAATAGTTGCGTCCCATTCAATTTTTGTATAATTTTTTAAAATGTTTGGAGGGTCACTCTCAAGCTTTCTATTTTAAGGGGTACCTGGCGCCTTTTTCCCAAAACGGCAATGTGTAGCCTTTTTTTTAAAATTATATCTTTTTTAAATAATTAAAAATATAGAGGGAAAAGCAATTATAATAATTTTTTATCCTATGTTCAACCCTGTTCTTTCCTTAAAACTTCTACTTTTCGCTAGTTCTAATTTTTAAAAAAATATACAATATCCAAAAAAGCTTAGGATTTAAAGCTATCGAAAAGTTTAAAAAAAACTGATTTGGGACGTACACAAAAATATAATACTTACTCGTAAAATAATCAAGATCACCGAATACTAAATAGAAAGGTTTTGATTCTAAATTTGTAAACCGATTTTGCCTAATTGCCTTGATCGACGAACCTGCTTTGAGGATAATTAAGAAATTTTGGTATTTGATAGAATTAGGATAGAAGATGTTTTCTATCGTTTGAGCATAGTTCTGGAATAAGTCATAAAAAATAACAGGTTCAATAAAATATAATATATTGTGGTGAAGGGTAAAGGATTTTACATATTTTACAGCATCCTCATTTTTACCCCGTTGGCGATAGATTCGATAGCTTATAAAATTAGAAGAACAATTAGGGTTGAGGCTATAAATTTTCATGATAGGTTTCTTATAGTTAAGAATTTTATTTAGCTGCTCCTCCTTAATACAAAAAATATAGAGTTTAAAATCGTTGGTGACATTAAGATATTTTACCTGTAACGGATTTACATAAACATTGTTTTTATTTTTAAACGATAAATTATTTAAGGCATAAACATTCGGTTCATGATTAAGTGTCATATAATATCCATGATCTAGCTTTGTAACATAATTTTTCGGTGGCGCCTCATACGAACCTTCCAAAAAGCAAATAAAGACCAAACAAGCAATCCAAATTGCATGATCGTTATGGATGTGATAATAAATTATATTTAAACGAAATGTCAAAATCAAGAATATCTTCGAAAATTTTATTATAGTTTTGGTATAAAACATTTTCATTTCCCTCAACTCTACTTAACGAGCGCATTTAATTTATAAAATTTTTTTTAGCTTTTTATAAAATGATAATATTTAAAATCAAGAATTTAGAAAAGTCAAAATTGAGAAAATTTGATAAGATACTTTTGCTAAAAAAGATATTCGAAGTTTATTATAAAAATTTTTTTTTTTTAAAATTGTTATTTATTTCTAAAGATATTTCTTCTTTTATTTTAATAATGAAAATAAATGATAAATATAATAATAAATAATGTATCAAAATATCTGTGTTAAATAAGAAATATAGGAAATATAAAATGTTATTAAAAAAATAATATATATAACAGATCAACTAACCAATAAAATATATTATGATAATTATATATTTAAAAAAGTAGTTAAACATTTTTAAAAAAAGGATATATAAAGATAAATTACAAACCATTAATGTATGAGAGAAAAAAAAGGAAGATTAAAACAATGAGCAACTTGTTTAATATGAGCTCTTTAATCAATCTGTGTCCTTCCTTATACTAATATTTAATATTATTATAAGTAAGGGTTATATTAATACCAATGAATGATGTATATATACCACTAGATTGGCGATAAAGTGTCCTTACATAGAAGTCAGCTAACGCCATTTTGTGGTTTGCACTTCTACTAATTGTCTTTATTGATCATTATATGAATGCACATAATGCTATTAGATAGACGTGCTAACCACAAAATGACGTTTCAACTGACTCATATGTATAGACAATTAAATGCATTTAATGAATGAATCGTCAATCTAGTATATATATAAATAATTGATTTGATTAATATTTATATGTCCAATTTGACTCCTCTCAATATCAAAAATGATATATACCAAAAAATTAGTGTAAAAACGGGCCTAATGTATGTATGGCGGTAGCCAAACGAGTTCTTATTTTACTTTACTATTTAGATAATCTATTGTTTAAATATCGTAGATATAATGGATTGGAAAAAAAAATCATACGAGATTTATAGCAATAATTAATATAAAATTATTTTCATACCCCAGGACTCAGGTATAAATGTTGCTGATTTGTTACTATTAAATTGAATCTGATATTTTATCTTAAATAATGTACCTTAAAATTTTTTTAAATTTATTTGATAATCTTTATTTCAAAAATTTTTTTTCTCTTGATAGTGTTTATAATACCAAAAAAAAATTAATTTAACATTTAGACACTCATTTCTTTGGTGGGCCTATTCCAACTATCTCCTATTGTTGAACCAGGTACTAAAAAAAACTTTTCAAATTCAATTTTTTTTTAAAGTTATAGTTTAAAATATATAATTACCTATTTCAAATACCACTGCTTTGAACCTTCAACATATGTTCTATTTATCCAGATTGATATTATTGAATTTATTAAGGATTGAATGGCCAACCTGCCCCGGTCTCTCTAATTTATTTTATAGACATATAGTAGATTTATTCTCATATTTTATCCCTTATATTTAATTCTGTTAATTAAATTTAAAATTTTACAAAAAAGTAAATATTTACTTTCCGTATAAACAAATAGTAAAAAGTTATCATTCTAAAAATGAACTTTATATATTTCGACATTATTTATGCGTAGAATAACAAAATATGTAACATTATTTTATTTTAGTATTAAACTAAAAGTCTAAAACTAATTAGAAAATATAGAATATGTATGTACAAAAGAACCACTAATTGTCGATAAATTTTTACAATCAATTTTAAAGTTATAAGAGTCAAAGTTCAAATAATACTGAAATATCTTTTTTGCCAATTTTATCATTTGATTAAGGTAAGTGAGCAATACCCTCGATTTTAGCCGATTTAAAAAACGGCCAAGCTTTAATAGGGTTTTTCTAAAGAGCAAGCTCAACCTTAAAGAAAGCGAATTTTTAACTCGTGCTTTTATCAAATTTTTTAAGAATGCTTTTTAGATTGGACAGAACGAACAATATATTCGATTATTATAACATTTCATCCACACTAGATTAATTTAGGAGGGCTATTTAACCAATTTAAGTAATGAGAGTTGCCATCCCTCTAAGTTTCCCCTATGGATGGTTTGAATCTGTTATGAGCCAAAATAAAAAGTAGGACCGAAATTAATATAAAAGACCAGACCGATTTTTTAAAAGTCTTCATTTAGAACTGGGACCAAAACAAAAATCACTATCTTTAAATATTTTGTGTTGACTTTAGTTTTTTGTTTTGTTTTGTTTTTACCATTTTGGAGTTCTTATCAAAGAAAGCTCTAATTTTAATAAAATGGATAGGAAAATGATATTTTTTAGAATAAGGTTTATCATTTTGTTTTAATTTTGACTGTTTTTTATTTAAACAATATACTTTTCTAATATTTTATTTACCTTTGGTTTTTAAATTGCACTTTTCCTTGATTTTTCTTAGATTGCACCTTTTACTTATTTTTTTGCAATTTTCCCCCGCCTTACCACATTAATGTGGCCACTTTATGGAGTTTTAGGTTATGTTTTGGTAAATATAATATATTTTATATAGTAGAGCCAACAACCTCGAGAATCAACATAGAGAGGTTTATTGTTATGAAAATATTTAAGCTATTTCGATTTAATTGTGACAAAAAGTAATTAAAACAAGACATATTAAAAATAATAACAAATTGCTTAGGATTTTTTAAGAAAATACTTAGGCCTGTCCTGGCGTCTATTTCTAAACAGTAGGCTGTTTAGACGTCTATATAGTTTTATCTATAAAAAGCGAGAGGCTATTTAGATTCTTTCCAAACCAAAATATTTATTTAATGTATGCACTCTTAAAGTATACCAAAATAGGGTGTCTTGCCAGTGCTAAATATAAATATCAAAAATATAACAAACAAGGGCAAGGCCTTGATAAGATTTTTATAGAATTTCACAGATATCTTTCTTAAAATTTAATAAGATTTTCTGAGAAATTCATTTTTTAACATGAACGTTTCAGTTTCATACCTGAGCAATTAATTCTTTTTTTTGTCCAGTTTAGTTTTTTTTTCTTGAGAATTAAGAAATAATTCTGAGCATTTTGTATTTTTCCCTGAGCGAGTATTTATTCTAATCGTTTAAGGATTCATTTTCCTGAGCCATCAAATAAGAACCCGAAATATTTCTTAATAATATTTTTTAAAAAAATACTAAAAATCTCAAATTAAAATATTTAGGGATTTAAAATAATTTTTTAACGGTCCAGACCGAAATAACCGAATCAAAAACTAATTATAATGATTCGATTGGAGACCATTTTTAAATCATACCGATTCTCGGTTTCTTCGTTTCTGACCTGACCATTGACTTATATTAATTGCACCAATATTCATGCCTGTTTTTTTAAGGAAACTAAAAATATTAAAATTCTTAGTCAACATTTAAAATTTTGTCATTTTATTTTTTTTTCAGCAAAAATTAACAAATAAAGTTGTCAAGTTCCTTCTATAATTGACTTTTTAATCTATTTAATTTAAACTAACCACCTGGATTATTATTTTTTGTTCTATTATATTATTTAATTTTAATCTTTTTTTTTAAATTGGAACTTTTACCATTTTTTCTAAACATTTTTTTTTGTTTCAATAATTCAATTATTATACACCAAATGTTGAAAGAGAAAATAATTATATATTATTACATTTTCAACTATAATATAAATTAATATTTTTTTTATAGATGCGGCGCAGGTATATTATATATTTTAGAAAAATTCATAAATATTAAAATAAAATTATAAAACAATAACAAATTAAGAAGAGAATAGAATAGAAAAAATTTAACATAAGAATAGATATATGATTACTCTAGATTTTTCTTTTAAATTTCGTATTAAAATTATTTATAGATATGACATGTATAAAAACTATATCAAAATAAAATTAAAAAGCCTAAAAATACTTGTATAATTAGTTATGGATTTAATAATTATGTTCCGGAACCATAATTATATCTAAAAATTTTGATTTGTATTCTTTGCCTAATATATAAAAATTATTTCGTTTCTCTGGTGAAATGCCTAATTTTACATCCAAGACTTTTTAAAAACTTAAATGTTATAGGCGAAAAAGAGCCGTTAGTAAATGTGACTATTAGAATGAAAATAAGATTGTTAAGATCCTTAGATTTTTTTATTATTTTTTTGGTCTCAGCTTAGGTAAGTGGATTGAAATTGGTGTTTAAGAAGAATGAAGTGACGTAACAATAGTTATTAAAGATTTACTCAAAAGGGAATGGTTGTCATACCATGAGATCATAAACCGTCTATGTATTATAAGTTGATAAACTCGAGAGTGGCTGTTAAAAATTTGGTGTAGAAATATGGAATGATGTAAATTGTTAAAAGCATTTTTGAAGTCAAGTTTGAATAATACTGTGTCTGGAAGAGAGTTTTCAATGTAAATTATTAGAGTATGGGAGCTATTTAACTCCTCACGATTCCAAAACCTAGTTAATAGGAGTTTAGTTTAGGATATTGACGGCATTATGTTTAAAAAGAAGAAAAATAAATATTTTAGACTAGGAAAGATTACCTCAATTATTATATATTCCAGAGATCTACAGGTACTGCCCGGGTACGGCCGTTTGTTAATTTTTTAAATATATCCGAGCCAAGCCGTATATTTTAAAAATTTTAAATCGCCATTATTATCTAAAAATTAAAAATAAATGTAATATAAAAAATCCGGGCTGGCAGAAAAACCTTCTTTAGAAAAAAAATTGGTCGGTCTAAATATATAAAACTGCTAACGAAAATATTTAAAAAAAAAAAATTCGGACAGGGCTGTGCAACTAGTATCTTTGCAGGTCTCTGATATATTCAATAAATTCTTATTATTCCTATATATCAGACAGATCCATCAAGACATATCTAACTATTAGTTATAATAACAAAAACTTCATAAAAGAAAAGGGGAA